GTGTAGGCGTACTCTGCCAGCAGCGTGGGACTGATGATTCTCCACTTGTGTTTCGTCTTCTTGAAGTGGGGGTCCGGGAACAGGAAGAACATCTTGCTGAGCTGCGTGAGATGGAGAGGCAGGAGGGTTATTCTCCAGCGCAGGCCAGCGACTACAACTAAACGCTTGTTACTCAGCCTCAGGCTGGCAGCAGCTGCCAGGACGCAGAGCTGGTGCCTCAGCTTGAAGAGGCTGGCAGACCAGTTACTACTACTGACAGGCAGGTAAGGAACAAAGAGGAGGCTGACAGGCCCATAGGGTGAGCCCTGCTGACCTGGCCTTTAGTGAAGAAGTTCGGCAGATATTTCATGGCGTTGCTGCGGAGACAGGCAATGTTCTGGTACTGGCCCGGATGGGCAGCCCGCAGGCTTTGGATCCGGTCCCGCACATAATCTGACACCTTAACCCGGATCTCCAGACCCAGGATCAGCTTCTGAGGGAACAGCAGAGCGAGCTCCACTGCGGACAGACAGAGAAAGATATTGATCATACAGACCCTCTGCACACAGACAGATGCTCGGCTATAGTGCTCCTTTGTGGGCACAGACACCTCTAGTCCTCCATGACTGCCTAACTGGGGTTACCGATAGCTCTCCCTTGTAGCTGACGTCTTAGCTGCCAGATTGAAAAAGGGGGAAAGAAACCGTGAGAGAGAGAGCTATGATGCATGACAGCACGTCCTTCTCAGCCATTTTTGCGTTCTGATGTGCGAAGGTGGCAGCAGTGTGTAACAGGTTTACACAGAGCCTGACACTGAGGACGGATGCATGGCAACAACAGCACCTTATAGGACTAAAGAGTCCTCATTTGTAGGCCTTACCCAGAAGCCCTCCGTATCCACACCCAATGTCGGCAAACTCCACCCGTGCCTCCTCTCTCCTCTTCTCTGATTGGTCCGCCTCGTCGTCATGGCGATCTGACTGGGATGGCGGGCTGAAAAAGTCTGGGTAGAGCTCAGACCAGTCCATCTTGTCTGGGCACACTGGGCTGAAAAAAAAGAGGGAGGGACAGGGAGGTGGAGAATGAGAGGAATGGGGCAAGAAGGAGGGAGAGGTAGGGGATGTTGGCTGGAGTAACTGCATGATACTTGACTTATGCAAAGA